GAAATTTCACTAATGATGACTCACTTATGGCCCACTACTGCACATTTAGGTTTAGATGTGGTTATCAACATCTAGGTGCTGCTTCAGTTCGGGTTTTCTTCCCATGTTAAGCTGACTGGTCGTCTTGTAGCTGAAATACTGCTTAAAGGGACGCTAATCTTACCCCCTCTCCTGAGCGTATATGTATAAATGTTATCAGCGCCTTAAACAGGTGGCTCTGTGATAAACCATATGACATACAGTAATAAACTGGTTATGTGACGACCTCATATCGCTTTGTTTTGCTTCGTCAAAATACGACATCGTGGTTTCATTTAAGCAAGGCGAGTGATGATGGTATTAACCAGGTATCGTCAATCACGTTTGGAGTCAAACGTTGGTATAGACGTCAGTCATGACGTTTCGGGGCGGCGTGAGGCGAGTCATGACGGTATTAACCAAAGGTATCGTCAATCACGTTTGTAGTCAAACGTTGGTATAGACGTCAGTCATGACGTTTCGGGGCGGCGTTAGGCGAGTCATGACGGTATTAACCAAAGGTATCGTCAATCACGTTTGTAGTCAAACGTTGGTATAGACGTCAGTCATGACGTTTCGGGGCGGCGTTAGGCGAGTCATGACGGTATTAACCAAAGGTATCGTCAATCACGTTTGTAGTCAAACGTTGGTATAGACGTCAGTCATGACGTTTCAGGGCGGCGTTAGGCGAGTCATGGTGGTATTAACCAAAGGTATCGTAAATCACGTTTGTAGTCAAACGTTGGTATAGACGTCAGTCATGACGTTTCGGGGCGGCGTTAGGCGAGTCATGATGGTATTAACCAAAGGTATCGTCAATCACGTTTGGAGTCAACGTTGGTATAGACGTCAGTCATGACGTTTCAGGGCGGTGTTAGGCGAGTCATGGTGGTATTAACCAAAGGTATCGTCAATCACGTTTGTAGTCAAACGTTGGTATAGACGTCAGTCATGACGTTTCAGGGCGGTGTTAGGCGAGTCATGGTGGTATTTACCAAAGGTATCGTCAATCACGTTTGGAGTCAAACGTTGGTATAGACGTCAGTCATGACGTTTCGAGGCGGCGTTAGGCCTAAATGACTCTTAGCTGTGAAGATTCGAGTTAGAGTGAGTGAGTTTTAGTTCTACGCCGCTTTTAGGAATATTCCAACAATATCACAGCGAGGGACAGAAGAAATGGGCTTCACACAATGTACCCATGTGGGGTATCGATACCGGGGTTTTGGCGTGACCAGTGAACGCTTTAACCACGAGGCTACCCCACCGTTAAATTCCCCGAGTTTGAATAGTTTTCAGCAACCCATGCTTGTTGTAAGAGGCGACTAAAGGGATCGGGTGGTCGGGCCGACTGACTTTCTTGACGCATGTCATCGTATTCCAACTGCGTAGACCTTGGCTCATGTTGTCAGTCACTGGATCGTGTTGTCGATTATTTACAGACTACAATCTAGTGAATCTAATAGCTGGAATATTGTAGTGTTAAACACCAAACAAACTCACTTACTCACTGGTGTATATGACAAATACATATCTATTAATGGTCGTGTGTGCATTAACAAATGATAATAAATAAGTGTTGAATTTGAGAAACTATCACTGGAAATATATCAGATTAGCCGCCAAAATGAGCCGCCTGTTTATTGACCGTGTGCTCCTAAATGTCAGGAGGGAAATATAATGGATATCTTATTTTTAAATACGAGTATACTGAAACAAATAGTTGCACATGTAGGAACATGATAGCATTAATGTTCCACACGGATTTGAGAATTTTCACGTATATCGTCGAATTATCTATCTCTCGGGTAGGTATCAAGTTATTTTCGATCGAGTTTTCTACAGTGAAAAGTGTGGAGGAGTATTTGAAGAGAATGTGTTGAGTGTCATTGACCACGAATGGCTTCTGATCAGGGTGCCATTGTACAAAACAACCTTAGCGGTAAGACTACCTTAGGTCTATGTTAAGGTATGGGAGTTACGGTCACCTTAGCGCTAAGATCGCTTTGTACAACGGCACCCAGATCCCTAAAATAGTTGGTTGGTTGGTTTGTTGTTTAACGCCGCACTCACTAATATTCTCGCTATATGACGACGGCATGTGAATAATAGAGTCTGGACCAGACATCATGAGCATCGATCTGCTCAACTGGGAACCAATGATATGTGTCAACCAAGTCAGCGAGCCTGACCACCCGATCCCGTTTGATGCCACTTACGACAAGCATGGGTTGCTGAAGATCAACTGTACCCCGGCTCTTTACGGATGTGCATGGCATCATGGTATGGAATAACAAAACCAGTCCGGACTTGTACAAGCATTCTCTTCCAACATCCCCTGACAATCGGATAGGGAAACCTAAACATAAAGCCCATTCAAAGTGTGCCAGTATTCGTGTTGTTTAAAAAAGCAACCAATTCTAACCCGGATCTTCACAGGTCGATCCCTAAAAAAACATGCTGTCCAAGAGATACGACACAATGGAGGCGAAGGTGTGACTTAATATACTGGCGGTCAAAAGAAAGTATCGATTCGAAAATTTGAGGAAACATTACAAACGTTATCAAAATGTAATCATGCTGAAAACATGAAAATTTCGGAAACTTACATATTTAAGATACCAGTATCAAATATATCACACATACTGTGGTAAAAGAGTTTGCTCATCACGTCGATGGGTTGTAGTCAAAAGGGCCAAAGGATATAAGGGCCAAAATTGAAAAAGTCAAAAGGGCCAAGGGAAGGTCAAAAGGGCCTACAGAAAGTCAAAAGGACCATACACTTAAGTCAAAACGGCCATAGGTAAAATAAGAACATACAAACTAATATGTATTTTATTATATTAATATTTATTATTATTATTATGTTTTACAGATTAAAGATGAAAATGCAGCAGAGAGGGTTCGGGTGATCCTGGCACAGTCAGGCTGGTAAGGTTCATCATCAGCTCAGGGCCCTCGCCCCCTGTACACGCAGCCCAGACAGCGAATGGGACTTCTCTCAGGAAACACTGCCTATTCGAACCCACCAAGAACTTTCCGGAGAATATGAAGGCTCCCTAACACTGCAGCCTTCTGCATTACCCAGAGTGTCAGAAGGACTGTGCTCCCGGTGGAGAACCCGGGCACTCTCCTGATCTGCGCCAAGAGATCAGGAGGTACCAAACCAAGGGCACCGAGAACAATGGGGAGCCTGACGACAGTGTACTTGGGATGCAAGCGAGACATTTCAAAGGCGAGGTCCGCATATTTATCATGCTTTTCCTGAATCTTGCCAATCACATTACTGTCAAAAGGGACAGAAAATTCAATGATATAAATAAATTCATTGGCTTTATCAAAAAGGACAAGATCAGGTTTGTTGGCAGGAATTCTTCTGAGGCTGTATATGGGCCTATTCCAGAGAAGTTTGAAAGCATCATTTTCCATGACGCCCTGGACATGTTCAGGGTCGTACCATGGATGGACCTCGGAGTCAAAGCCACAGGCATGGCGAAGACGGTAGTTAAAGCAACGAGCCATGCCATCATGTCTCTTAAGATATGCTGTTTGTGCCAAGGAAGAGCATCCAGTAACAAGGTGTTGGACAGTCTCTGTAAATTCATTACACAGTCGACATTTCACATTGATATTTCCTTTAAGAATCACATTTTGGCGATTACGAGTGGGAAGTGACTGGTCCTGAGACTTGAAAGGGGTATATTTATTTAGTTTATATTTTGTTTTTGTTTGTTTTGCTTTGTTTGGGATTTTTTGTTGTTGTTGTTTGTGTTTGACTTTTGTTTCTTTTGGTTGTTGTTTTTTGGGGGGGGGGGTCCACTAAACTTCCCTGACACCAGATGTTACTTTTTTTGTACGTCAGTATATTTGATGGATATCCGTTTAATAAAAAGACACTGGGTGGTGGCAAAACGAACGTTTCCTTTCGACATAGCTTCTCCTTGTTTAGAAAGGCGCCATCCTGAAATTGACCCTAATACATCAAACCGAGTATTGGCCACGTTATTTAATTATTGAAAACCTGATAGTCTCAGACACAAGAATCAACCAGTGTTCATTTAACAATGAGCGAGAGAAAATTATTAAGAAAACACAGCAAGGAGAGTCGCTGCATGTTAAGTGCAACCACTGACTGAGGATGGTGAGTGAGTGAGTATGGCTTTACACCGCTTTTGGCAATATTCCAGCAATATCACGGCAGAGCGACACCAAAATTGGGCTTCACACATTATACCCAAGTGGGGAATAGAACCCAGGTTTTCGGCATGAGGAGGGCCAATAGGGCAATATGCTCGTATGGTCACTCAGACCATGTGAATTAAAACTTAAACAAGGTAAGCTTTTTCATTTTCAGAGATACATTTTTTTGGTTATGTAAACGATGATTCAAAACTCAAAATTCTCAATAAATATAGTTTATTGACATCATATCCACATTCACCCTTGCACTCATTTCAACGGTTTACAAGATCATATCAACACATACTTGTGCTTCCCCCAAACACAACACTTGTTTTCATGCACATGTATAAACTGATGTGAAAGCAATCTTTCCAAAAGAATCTCTCAGCTGCACAGCAGCAATTCACAGTCCATGTACAAAATAATTCCCAACAGAAATGTTTGGGTCACTGAATGAATTAGTCACAATCTGTCATTGAGCCTGACCAACCACCGTGACACGGATAGCTTGATGGCGACCTTTTCCAACCTAGATTGCTCACTTAGGCCTACTTAATAACCATGGGCTTCAGCAGTGTTTAAAACTCACAAAATTCCAAGCCAGACAGCCGGACTGGTAACTATAAAAAAATTACCAGTCCGGATACAAACTTGCCTGTCCGGTTTTCAACAATAAACTGAAATTGGTTATCCTAACATGAACTGTCCAATCATAAGTAGTTTAACATAATTTTCATAATACCTCAAACTGACAACAAGATATAATAATCATAATAATGATAATGTCTGATATTATGAAATATTTAATGCTAGGGGTAAAAATATCTACCAGACCACCGGACAGGCTGCTTTTCAAATTTAACCGTCCGAGATGAAAACAAACCGTTCCGGGCGGTCGGGCAGGCGGGGAATTTTAAACGCTGGCTTCAGGAAGTCATTTTTGGCCCGAAGACAAGTGAAAGCTAGTGACTGAACTGATCAATGCCCAAAGTAGCTGCAGAGTTATCTCTTGTCATTTATTACTTTGGGTCTCTTAAAGCCCCAAACAAGTAATGACAGTATTCAAAGTTGATTCAAAACAAAACCACACTTGCCATTTCAAACATCTCCTGTGGTTCACAATCTCTGAGCAGCAATCACTGTTTCTGCAGTTAAGTTACCTCAACAAAAGTCACATCTTTCATCCATTTCACAGCATTGACCTCACCTAGTGACTTTGACCTTCATGCAGAGCAGTCAGATGACCTCTGACACTGATACGTCACACAATGGACTTCTGCTTTCTGATCGCATAGGATATTCATATGCATCTTCTTGCATCAGAGCTGTATCACACCGTTGACTTCAGCTAGTGACCTTGCCCTTCAAGTACAGTAGTCGGCTGACCTCTGACACCGACATGTCACACAATGGAGGTATGGCCTCTTCAGATGGAACAGGGTATTCAGATGCATCATGGGAGTACTCATCTAACAACAGAAGTAGAAACATTTCAGTATTTCCATTACACTGACTTGCATGATGGCTATGAGCATGAGCGAGTGAATTTGGTTTTACACCACTTCTAGCAATATTCCAGCAATATCAAGGCGGGGGACACCAGAAATGGGCTTCACACAATGTACCCATTTGGGGGCAGTGAGTATGAGGTGAAGGTGACAAATTACAGCATCTGTGAATCATGAACTACTATTTTTTCAAATGAAGTGATTTTCTTTTCTTAGTTTAGGGAAATGGATCACTCTATAACTGAATTACACTCGTCTTAATCGTTTAGATTACATAAAACACAACAAAAGGAAACGGGCGGTCAAATCTTCAAACATGCTTAATTGCATAGATTGATGAAATATCAAACCAATATTAACCAAACCAAACCTCCCCACTTTTCCATCTTCTAAAAAAGGAAACACACATTTTTCAGCAAATGGAAAAAGAAGCTGTCCTCCATATTTACTGTATATAATTAATCAACTGCACAAAAACTATGGTAACATGTATCCATGGCAACTCAGCTTTAACTAATACATAATAACTGCACATATTTATGCAGCATTGTGGACAAATTTCCAAAGTAAAAACAAGTCAAGTATCTGCCCAAACAGTTAGTTACATGTTACCATGACAACTCACCTGTAACGGTATGCACGGATGTGAGGGGAGGTGTATTGAGGAGGAAGAGTCCGAAGTACACAAGATAGGCCAGTATGACGACCACACAGCCGTACACAGGTAACGTCACAGCCCAGTGCCTGGAACACACACAACAGCTTTTACAACATTCCAACATGAAGTAAAATAGTAGACTTTGATCAGCTCTTTGTTTACTGCATTTTGAGTGAAACCAGGTCATTCTCTGGTGTAAGCATTCTCTTCCCACAGAGGTTACTTGTCATATCTTCCTACGAACCTCTGTTCTAATACGGCCATATTGCCTGGTTCTCGTAAAATCCCCTAGCGGCAAAAGATCGCAACACGAATTATCTCCCTTCTTTCTATCCAATCAGAACACGTGTTACATTGACTTAGATTCAACTTGACTAACACAAGCAAATGTGGGGCCACAAATATCCCCCATCTGCCGGGGACTTGTGTTGATGTTACACACAAGACGTTTAATGGCTAGCATGTCCGTTGTCAACGAGGGCGATGGAGACGCCACTGATCCGCCATAACATGACTGAGTTCTGTCTAGAAGAAACGTTTGCGCATCGCGCAGGGGAAGAAGTTTAGTTTTCTCGAAGCATACGGAAATTACCGAGGCCTTGCGAATGATCACTTTTGAAACAACGTCGCTGATTGCACAACTAAATCTGATTGCCTCCAATCACGAGTCTTGAACGCTCACACCATGAAGGGCCGTATTAGAACAGAGGTTACGTAGGAAGATATGACAGGAGTAACCTCTGTGGGAAGAGAATGTGGTGTAAGATACATCCTTGTATTTTTAACACATTTAATGGTCTCTTGTGTAAGTAACATCTTCTAGATTTTATTAATAAATTTTATGGTCTTTGGTGTTAGTTACACCTTTTTGTATCTTTTAATCAATTTCATGGTCCCCCATTTTACATACTTTTGTATTTTGTAATCAATTTTATTGTCTTCGTGTTAGTTGCATCTTTTTAGCTCGCCTTCTATATTGGTTTCACCCTGAATTCAGAGCTTACTATAAAAGAAACATTGTCATGAATGTTTGCAGGTAAACATCAAGTTTTTAATTGTTTTAAGTAATAAGAAACTACAGGCAATGAAGTCAGTCATCAGTACCAGTCACTGACATTTCAGTTTCTCATCTTTGTATCTCAACACATCATGAGTTCGATCTGGTGTCATCACAGTTATCCAGAGGACAGTATGTGAGTCCAGCAGCATCAAGCCATGAATTACGGATGTATGCCCACACCAAGTACACAGTAACCATGGTAACAGACACTATACTCACTTGCTTGGCCAGCATGTGAGTCCAGCAGCATCAAGCCAGGAATCAGGGATGTATGCCCACACCAAGTACACAGTAACCATGGTAACAGACACTATACTCACTTGCTTGGCCAGCATGTGAGTCCAGCAGCATCAAGCCATGAATTAGGGATGTATGCCCACACCAAGTACACAGTAACCATGGTAACAGACACTATACTCACTTGCTTGGCCAGTATGAGTCCAACAGCATCAAGCCATGAATCAGGGATGTATGCCAACACCAAGTACACAGTAACCATGGTAACAGACACTATACTCACTTGCTTGGCCAGTATGTGAGTCCAGCAGCATCAAGCCATGAATCAGGGATGTATGCCCACACCAAGTACACACCTAAAACATGCAATCACATCATTTAACAGGGCATGGCTACTCAAGAGATAAACCGTCTGTGTTATGAAATTTGAGGCTGTTTCACTAGAGAATTTTTACATCTTAGATTTAATTTGAACCAATCGCTTCAGCAGTCATTTTTATGAATCAATATGTAGGCCATCATCAACATATTCATTCACTCGTTTTTTTTAATTTTTGCAGGGAAAGTAATAATATAAGAGAGGCATCAATTTGAAAATTGAGACCTCATTTTAACCAATTTGAATCAAGCATTCTTCAATGTCATGTTAGCTTTGTGAGATTGAATTGGAGTGAACTTTCATTAAAAGTGATTATTATGAAAGGCATGGAAGTAAATTCACTGTCACTATATAAAGAATGATACAAAGTTATCCTTCGTTCATTGCTGTTTTCTGTTTTGATTTAGTGAAACAAGACACATTACCTGTTGTACAAGTTGTACATTGCTGAATTCCAATTTTCATTTTGTGCATAAAGAACCTTGCCTATTGTACATCACTGTATTCTGATTTTCATTTCGTGTATAATGAAAGGTCCCTGATGTACATAGCTGTTGTACATGTGCCGATAACTACCCTATCCGCTTGATCAGCTTTGGGGTTTGGAGTGCTTTATTATTATTATTTCACATGCTTTGAGTTATAGCAAGGCAGTTATAGCAACAGCACACAATCAAACACTTCAAATCATGACCAAAAATCAAACTTCAAGAGTACAGTGTTTAAATTATCAGAATCAATTTAATTTGTTTGTGCTCAGGAATGTGAAACTGTCTATCAACATGGTTAGTGTTCATGTCATTTCAAGAATACACTCGTGCATTGTGTATGAACATCAAACTTTGCCTTCACATGCTTATGAGTGTCAGCTGACAAAACTTTGTTTTTTTCACTGGGTATTTTCAGAGTAAACAGAATCTGTAGAACAAAATTAAATGCATATCATCTTTAGACCATTCGTGACATTAAGAAAAATATAACAAAACAAAACATTAGTGCTAAAGCATACTGGGCTCCAGTTCATCCCTAGATTCCCTGTTGGTGGTTATAGTGAAATATTCACAGACAAGCTGGTAGAAAACTGTACCAAAGAGGATATATGAGAACAGGTAGAGAACAAATCCAAGCACTGCTCTCTCTGGTGTTGGCGAAGGTGAAGCCATCTTCAGTTGAGTACAGTTCGTCTGAAAAATGAGTTCATTTTAATACAACATGTATCTTGAAAAGTGTTTAAATTGTGTCTCTGAATGTCAGCCTAATTTGACAAGAAAGACCGAAATGATTATGTTCGTTTCCCTGCGTAATTTACTGCTTTGGTGAATCCCTGGATGTTGGTGCAGGCAGACCAAGTGGCATGGGATTCAAACCAGCCTCATCTACATGGCAACTCTATTTAATTGATTTAGTGAATGTATGTTCTAATTTTAACGCCCCTTACCGATACGCGATTTCATAAACACGCAGACATGTATACACACCAAATTGTGTAGTGATTATCATGATCCCCCCGATTACAAATGCAGGTGCATAAGACATTTAGCAGACACATGCACTATATGGCTTACCTATACATCCGTTGACCAAAAGACTATCGAGGTATATGGGTGTCCGGATGATTTCCTAATCCTATGCTGATATTTCATCAATAAATGTGATTGCGCTCTACCGCCGAACTCTATTAGTTTCTGCGTACTGTTTAGCATAAACTGAATCGTGTTTTAATGTCCTATGCCAAGAAATTTGGCTGCCATACATTCTAGCTATATTACCTGATGTCTAGCGCTAATGTGGTTCCACAACTATGGATACACAACACATTATTCTTCCGATTCTATTTGCTGACAGCTACGCACTCGGTCTGGCAAAGGGAAACAACTCTGTAAACGACTCGTACATCATACCACTACAAGAAATAGGTTGTGTTTGGGCTGCGAGTTTGTGATACGACGGACCTCCTTGAGTGAGAGAGTTTAGTTTTACGCCGCTTTTAGTACTATTCCGGTACCTCCTTAAATTTATGCATTTAGTGATGGGAGTTTGTTGGCGTGGACTATTGGTATGATACTCAACAGTTGCAAAATTGTTGATATTACCAACCCTACAGCAGTACCCATACACGTGAGATATTTCCATGAACCATTTTCATGAACCCCTCAAATAACAAATGACAAGTACCTACCGCCCTCCCCGATGTTAATCAATAGGTTCTGAGTGAAAGATTTAACAGAAGGTACGAAATGGCTTATTCTAAATACACAGCGATCGCCAGTTGACGAGTAACGCGCATTTACACAGAAACGTTCGACTACCCACAATGTCCTTGTACATATAGATTAGATCACGTGTATTAGTCATTAGTAGACATTACATTATTTCATCAGTTTCTCGTGTTGAGCTTTACATCGTAAAGCGATCATCTCAAACAGTGCTGCAGATTTGTAATCAGATCCTTTGGGATTTTCTTTCCCTACACGCGTCACAGTAACAGATACACCCAACATATCCATGTGTACAGAAATAGGTACGTAATCTAGACGTACATTTTCTAAAGCTTAGTAGACAATTAAAAAGTCTTAAATTCTATAGGAAGAACAAACCTTATGTAGGTCCCCCATAATTGTGACAGCGCTGTTAAAATATTGATTTCAATTCAGTCACAGTATTAATTGGTCTAGATCTGTGGCAGCGCGCGAGCGGTGGAACGCTGATTTTACATTGCGCTACCACGATTGTATGTTGACGATTTGGCTGTTGGATTTTTTTTGTTTTATGCATGTAAAGGAGAAATATACACATGGATAAAAATATCGCAACACCTCATATTTTTCATAGTATTCGTATGTTACTATTAAAGATAGCAAAGGAACGTATCTAAACCTCAATTTAACTTACTGTCTTGGTGAATGGACACTCAAGGAAGAATTAAATGGCAAATCTAAACACAAAAAGAACGAAAAATTGAAGTTATTCAGTGGACTAAACATGGCAAAATATGACTCATATTGTTGTGCTGATAACTATGGTCGTATGACGTTAACAAGTGCGACCAGATTCTGGCATACAATCATAAAGAAATCACATAAGTGTCAGTGTCAGTGTCAGCGTCAGTATTTGGTGTCATCTCGTCAACTGTATAAACATCTCTGGCCCTCCGCCTGTCTCAGACATTGCACTGCACGTTGAGGTACTGCTTTCCGAGCTTGGTTGAGGGTTTGTTCCAACACATCAAGGTTTTGTACCGGAGGATCTGTCTATAATATTCCAAACGTGTTCTATGCGATATGGACTCCTGGCAGGCCAGGGTAGAGTTTATTCTGACGTGAGAAATTCCCAACGACACGTGCACGATGTGGCCTTGCACTGTCGACCATGAAAACTGTCCTTGTGTTCAGTGGATGGTCATTGAAATCAACAACCCTGTCTAAGATACCATTCAAATTTTGTAAGATCGTCACAAGTCTGCAGGCATATGAGACTTAGTAGAGAAAACATTCCACTGAATCAGCATAGTTGACAGATCCAGATTGTAGATAACCTTATCAACTACGGCAGCATCCGACTCATAGAATCATGGGGGCGGTGCCTGATAGTCCAAAATGACTGAGTAACCATGGAAACCGTAACCGTAGAAACTGTAACTACGGAAAACAAGATTTTGTACTGGAAATTGTATGCTTTTGTTTGGCACGTGACTTGAACTATGTATATATATGCTTTTCAATTATATATGAAATGGTTTGCCTAGGGAGGGCATCCTCGATAATCTCAAGGGTATACGTTCCGATAAATCTCCACTGGTTCAGGATTTGGATCGTCTGATTCGTAGTCAGTGAAACGGATTTTATGAGCGCCTCAAACAGGTCACGTTGGTCGTTCTGTCATTAACGTAAACCTGGACGAACCCCTTGATCAATTCCCGAGGTTCTCGCGATATCCAATTATCCGGCCTATCGGAGATCGATTGAGAATTATCGATTGGTGACCTGGAAAACAATTACTATGATAACTGTTATCATTATTAAAACAACCGATTAACATACCGAAAATCAGTGTCTGAAATACGGGTGGCTGATGCCTATTGCAACTGTAGGCATCTTTGGAGATATATAATGAGAATGACGGTATATAATCTAGTACCAATACAAATAAAAAGTAATAACATAACAACAAAACAAATACCAACCAAAACAGCCCTAATACAGCTCTTCGAACCACTTCTGCAAATGTGCAAATTCAAAATTCCTACAAACTGAATTATTCAACCCCCGAGACTATCTACCTGTATATTGTATATGGTCTCTGTTAAACCCTAACGCCCCATTCTGTGTAGTTGATAGTGTTCGTAGCAGTGTATGTGCTTTGACACTTTTGGTAGATCTTTCGTTTTGGTAGGTTTATGATTTCGTTTTTGATGATGATGTGTTTGTTTAAGTTAACTTCCGGGAGTTTAAATGTCGCTTTGCCTGCTTGGTCGGCATGTTTGTTACCAAACACACCAACATGGTCAGGGATCCATATGAACTCTACCTTTTTACCTTAGGCGTATAGATCCCGAGTGGTTTTAGTATTTCGTTTATTAATTTATCTTCTGTGTTCTTTATGCCGAATAATAAGTTTGTTAGACCCCTAGCCGCGCTACTATATCACATGTATCAGTGAAGACAACTGTGTCTTTCGTCTCTACCAACCTAATTAATATTGAATTTCTGCTCAGTATCAGGATGTTCTACCCATAACGTTAGATCTTGCACTCGATAACTTTCATTTTATATATATCATAATGTATGATCTGTGATACCTCTCATTTTTATCTATATGTATGTGTCCTCCTCCGTGTCTCATAGGCCATATTGGCCGGGCACCGTATATCAAATTGGTGTATTTTTATTGTCATTGTGTTACAGTGCGTGACACGAAAATAAAATAATTTTTTTCTTCTTCTTCTTCTTCGAACTTGTCTATACCCGATTATGTAAACATATACTGATACTTAACTGGTATGAAAACATCAGTATAAGCGAGTAACACCTGCCCGACTCTAATTTCTATGACAACATTGTGCTGTAGATCTATGCGATCCTCGTTATGACACGTGGAACTATGGGAACAATGGAACGTTGTTTATATTGTGTTTAACTGGATAGAAAATATACGTTATAAAGGTGTGTAGAGTCGCACTGTTGTAATCAGCTCGCCTGGTGTTAAACGTGGAACTTCACCCAGGAAATGCCACACACTTAAGACAGCCCCAAGAAGGATAAAAGATTTCTTTGAACTACTGTATCAGCGGAAAGGTAAAATCTCCAAATCATCAGCGTCACGATTCGATCAGCAATCGTATCACAGGTTGGAATCTGTCCAAAGAGAGAGTCATATGGAAGTCTTATCAGGTATGCTGACATCTTTGATGCCAATAGTAACAAAATGTCAACTGTAAACTCATTCTTGGTGAAGGCAAGGATTTTATGGATGTCAACTTCTTCATTGTGATGGACACGGCGTTTCTGGGTATAGTCTTACTCCTTCATCAGATGAATGGTGAACATACTCCGAAACATCGTGTCCATCAAAATTAAGAAGTTGACATCCATAAAGTTCTTGCCGTTCTGTGTATCACTTCTACAGTCCGTTTGGCTCAAAAGCGGACCGATGAATTGCAATCTAACTCGAAAACTAATAAACATAACATACTCAATGAAACGCTGATCATAATCAAAACATCATACCCACTCTGTAAGGTTTTTGCAGAATTTTTGTCCTAAAAATAATAATGTTGTTTAACAAACTATCATTAAAATATTGACACAGTTTACTGTTTGTTGCGAGGGAGGAGTGCAGAGAAAGTGACAGCCAGGTGTTCGAGAAGCACGTTCACAGACACAGTTATTTATTCATTAACCTGTACTGTGCCGTCTCCATCCGTTCTCGAACACCTGGCTGTCCCTTTCTCTGCACTCCACCCTCGTAACAAATAGTGAACTGTGTCAATATTTTAATGATAGATTGTTAAACAACTTTTTTATTTTTAGGACAAACATTCTGCAAAAACCTCACAGAGTGGGTATGATGTTTTGATTATGATCAGCGTTTTATTGAGTATTTTATGTTTATTAATTTTCGAGTTAGATTGCAATTCATACGTCCGCTTTTGAGCCAAACGGACTGTAAATGCCGTTCAAAGACTGATTTTTCAAAATGTATTTTATCACCTATACGTTCGACAAATGCATTAATTTTTTTGTATATTGCTTGGCAAAACACGTAACATCGCAGTCTGGGAAACTGGCACTCCGCAATGACGGACCCAACAACTGGTTGTGGGTAGTGTGATCTTACTATTCACACTTTGCTAAGGATCAAATCATGGATTCAACAGACAACTTTGATGTGGGGTCAAATTGGATTTAAATATCTAAGCTTATTGTAGGCATGGATCCTAGGCTTCAGTGTGTCATTTCATCTTGTAGATCCCATACCTGCTATTGACAGGTGTTGTGTACTTGTCAATGACTAGTTCCATGATTATTTTGCAAAATGGTTGATTGGTGCCATGAAAAGCATTTTTATGGTTTTTATGGTTACAGTGCATTAGGTTAGATTAAAGTGACTGTTTGCCTAAAGAAGGGTTACCAAATTATTATTATTTATCCAGTTTTAAATGGATACAATTTCAAATTATGAATCTACGTTTAAGTAAACTTGTGAATTTCTGTGATCCTCAGCAAAGTGTGAGTACTATATATCATTATGTATATCACATCAACTCAAAACGTTTGCAAATTGCACTAAACGCTTGTATTATTGCGTAAAAGGTATATCAGACTCAAAAAGGATTCTTCAAGGTAAGAAACTAAGCAGATCTCTGACTATAATAC